ATCTTGCAGAAGTATCTTTAAGAGGTCCATCTGCTAAAGCTTTCCTTCCCTCTCGGTTTCTTTCCCACACATAAGCCCTCTCCATTTCTGTAGCTACAGTCAGCGTATTTCTGACACCTACTGTGTTCAGAGCCTTACAGTTAAGCAATGCACTTGGGGTGGGAAAAGTTAAGAAATGTCATTACTACAAGCATCAGATCTGAGGGCGAGAGGAAGAGAGTGACACAAGGGTGATGCTAAGTTAAAATTACAGTTTGCACAGGGAACCATAGTTTTCTGAGTTGAAGACCCTGTCCCCTTTTTCTAAAGCAACCGCCTGCCAGACTTTCTCTGTCACCAGACATCTAACACCTTTGGGATTTTACCTCCAGAAACATCGATTACTCTGCTATTAAGACTGTCAACATTCCCTAGAGTCTAATTCTTTTTTTTTAGTGGGGGATGGTGAAAGAGAATGGGGAAGGAGGAACGTCTGTGTTAATAATTGCTTAATAAAACATCTTTGAAATAGAATATTTAACCTAATCTACCTATTTGGCGTCACATATACAGTCCCCAAAGCATTTTGCAGTCCAATTAAATTTTACAAGAGAGTCTGAAATAGAACTAAAAATTTAATGACTCCAAACAACTCAAGAGTCCACATAGGCTGCATTCAGACAAGTGCAAGTTATCATTACATGGACTCTCTCTGCAGGCGAGGTTGTGTGTGCTCCCCGAATGTCCTGTTTGTGAAGGTAACCTAAAACTTAGCTTTCTCTTTGGCACAGGTACTTGTGTATCTGTGCTGAATGGATGGTAGAAACACATCATCTATCCGCATGCCCCAAGAGGAAAAGCAGTATTAACTTGCCTGAAAACATTTTTTTTAAAAAAAAGGTACAGATCGCAATGTGCATGGAAGTGCCAATAAGTTGGTAATTTTTGCTGCTCATCATTCTGACTAGGACAATGGAAAGGGCTCACAAGCAAAGAGTTAAAAAGCATTACCTTTTGGGTCCTCTCTGTTTCACCAGCAGGCTCTCGGTATCTTGTGGCAAGAGCTGTCCGGGTTCCTCTTCATGGAGTTGGCACTGAGAAGTTTTATACTGTACTTCTTATTTGTACAGTCACACATTGGTACCAGTCAAGCAGAGGAGGGCTGGGGCTTTGTTTGGGATTGGTCGGCATCAGAATGACATCAGCAAATGACTGGTTTTTCCAGTGTGAGACATATTTCATAACTCATTATCTAATGGAAAACCTTTCTTGGCTGCCGTGACAGTCCTGGGTGATCACCGAAGCCAGTGAAAAACCTCTGACTGACTAGACTCCCCTTTAGAGAAATCCTGGAACTGACCAGCTCTACCTCATTGAGTCCCACTCACAACTTTTCTTTGACCAAGGGCTCGCACACTTCTCCCTCGATCCGGGCTCACTTTTATGTCTTCACATAAAACATCTGTTACTTCATGGATTTGCCTCAATTTAAAGTATTTTATTGTTTCTGATGGGGAAGAAAATTCACAGTCCTCTTTATAAGAGAGTCTGATTTTACTTTTTTAAATAAGATATTTCAAGGAGGAAAAAAAAAAGAAAGAGGATAACTGTGCATACCTAGAGGGGATGGTTTTCCCCTCCCCTGACTTACACTATTATTTTGCAACTCAAGTAACTTAATTTTTTTACATAAGATATTTTATTGAGAAATAAGGGGAAATATGTGTCTACCATATGAAGATGGTCTTCTATCCTGACCTGCACTATCCTTTTACATCTTGAAATTGAATGCCTGCTTCATAAATCATTTATCACCAAGAACTTTGGAAACAGTCATTCTCTGCTAGTGAACTTTATAAGCAGCCTTCCCAAGTCTTAGAATCTCAACCTCACTAGACAAAAAAAAAAAAAAAAAGAAAAAGAAAAAAAAAAAAAAAAAAAAAAAAAAAAAATATATATATATATATATATATATATATATAT